AATATAAAAAAGAGAGTCAGCGTTGCAAAAAAAAATCGCTACCGGCGGAGAGCGAGAGAAAAAAGGGAATGTTGTGATAATTATAGCTGTTTTAACACTGCGGTGATTTTGAATTTCAAAACAGATTCTGACTTTGACGCCTTTGAAGTTGTGTTGGTTTGAAAGTACTAAATGGATCTCGTGTCCCATCATGATCTCAGCCAAGACGCAATAAGGGTCTGATAAAAACTTCCACTGATCGATTCAAGGACAATAACTTCATAATATCTGAAGCCTCGGTACACCAAAAAAAAGTGCGAGCTCACGTCTTTTCAAGGGTTTAATATCTGAGCATCAAGACGTATGCAACGTATCTTCCCATTTTGCCAAATTCAAAGTCGATACAGTATGGAAATAAAAAGTTTAACATTTGAAAGAATGACATTCATTGTGGTGAAAATTTCAATTTTTACTTATTTCTATTTTTAATAGTATAATCTTTTGAAATGATTTCAAATGATTTCAATAGTATTTTGTTCCATGAAAATGGAGGAGTGTTCATTCTACAATTATTTTACTTTCAATGAACCTACATTCTTACTTAAATCTTACTTACATTTAATTTTCAACAATGTTTCAATTTTGTGAATTTTTTTAAAAATTTGTATTAATTTAAAAAAAAATTTAATTTGCCATTTTAATCCATTCTTAAAATCTCGCACAGATTTAAATTATCGTGCAGTAACTTTCGCAAACACTTTATTGACAAAGTTGCTAGCCTGAATGAATAGATTAATTTTTACTCGCATACTTTTACGACCTTGTTTGCAAAAATCGTCCGTTGATTGACGTGAGTGATTACTGTGGTTTGCAGACCAAATAAGCGCGAGAACTCGCTCTCTTTGTTTTCATTTTTTCCGCAAGAGCGGCCGATTGAAAAATCAGCGCCGTGTTAATAATTCGCGCACAATTATAATCAATAGCGACGGGAGAGAGAGCAAGAGAGAGAGAGAGAGAGAGAGAGAGAGAGAGGCGGAATGCCATAGTTTGCGGTTTGCGGGCTGCAGCAACACACGCAAGGCGTAGATTATCCTTCCTGGGGTTGCTCTTTTGGCGAATGCGATAAGGAGTCCCGCGGGGATGAAAAACCACCCTCTCAACCCTTTCGCTCGCATGCCAAGAAACGCAGCAAAAATTGTCGCCTGGCGCAATTGCGAAAATATTGGAATCGGCCCCGGGAAGCGCACCCTCGAAAAGTGGGTCCTTTTGTTGTAGCGCAGCCGGTCTCTTTTATACTCGAACGGAAATAAATAAATCGCGCTATATATATCTCATGATGTGCGGCCCTTCAGTTTTTTTCTTTCCTTTTATTGTAAGCCAGTTGGAAAGTGAAACCGATAAACTTGTAATATATTATATAAAAGCTCCGTTTTTATTGAGGGCAGCCGGAAATTTTATCGTCTCTTGATGGAAAAGGCATAAAAAGTTCGTGTTACCGTTTTGTACTTCGGAACACTAGGCGTGAGGTTTTGAGCCTGTAAATATCTTGCTTAGCCAATGAAACTGCATTTTCCGATTAGTGGGGTGGCTCAGTAGAGGAGCAATGCTGGTGACCAAGGTAGGCATGGCCGCTGGACAATGTGCTCCCTCCTCTGCCCCAAGAAGAAGCTAAAAAAGTTAGTCAGGTTTGACTCGATTGTCGACACCTATTCTTTGTCCGAGGTCAACTCAGCAGCTACTACATCTGCTGCTGGAAGGGTGAGTTGCTGAAAAATAATTTTTTAAATTTATGTAAATTACGAAATATTTTTTTCTTACTTTCATTTCATTCATTCGTGGTAAAAAATATTTTGAATAAATTTAAAAGTTTTAATTATTATTTTTCCAGTCTTCCTGAATTTTGTCAATTTAATATAATTTAAAGTTTAAATAATAACAGTTGCAGATTTTATTAAGAATTGTTTGCATTTAATAATTATAATTTTGTAATGTTCAACTGCTTTCATTTAGAAAAAAAAAAAAATTTTTTAAATAAAAATCCATAATTCAAAACAAGTGGACACCAAGCATAAATTTTAATTGTGCTGCGAGTTTTCATAAATTGGAATAATAGTTGTGAGGGAGCGATGTTCGCATTTGCAAAACTGTGCCCATGGATCGAGCGCCGTAATTTACAATCAATGACGCTGTAATGGAAAAGCCCGCTGGGAAAACATCCAGAATGCTTTTTCCGTCCACTCGCTGTTTGCCCAGTGACCATTCCAATTAATTTGATTTCTCACAGACGACAATCGCCCTTCACATATTTCCAGCCAAAACACATTCAACACCCACTTGTTTGGCAGTCTGTTGGCCGGCTGTGCTGGGCAGGCAATCACATTACACCTTTCGCTCGCGCTTGTAATCGCATTGAAAACAAATGATTCTGAATTCGCACGTCCAAATCGTTTAACTTGTGCAGAGTTTTAATTAATCGCATTCGCCCACAGCTGAACTTTTCCGAACACACCTGTCAATCAACCACACTCGCTTTTATTTTGTAATTGTAAATATAGTAAAATCCTGGTACGATCAAAAGTAATCAGCTTGCTCTTTTGTTTTTATTTAAATTAAAGTGTATTTTAATATAAATTTTAGAGCTTTTTATGGACGGTTAGAATAAAATTTTAAAGTTATTAGAACTTAAATTTTAATACAAAACTGAGAAGAAACAGAAAATTGTGGGTTTAAAAAAATAATCAGTCCAATAACAAAATTAAAACAGATTAATTTGCTCAGATTAATAAAAAAAGCCGGGCCTGAAAATATTCCTGTAGTTTATGAATTGACGCAATTTGCTGAATTTATCAACACCCTTGTTGTAATTACCTCAATTTTTACTATGAGAGATCAAGCGCCTTTACGCGCCATCAAACAAACATAATATTTATGTATTGCATGCTTTATCGATTTCCATGAAACAAGAAAAGTGGATGGTGGTGCGCATTTCACCTCCCCGGGACATGCGAAGATAATGTTATGCCTAAACCAGAAAAGCATAAAAAGCCCGAAACAGTTGCCGTGGAAAGTGGGTTTTCTTTCTCCACTTTCCACCGCAGTGCTGCTGAACGATAATTTATATATCTTCGCACCGAGCGCGCACCTTCTTTCCTTTTATTTACGGTGCGCGTGTGTTGTGCTCTTGGTGCAAGTATAAATTAAATTCCGCGCTGCTATTCAGCGCAATTTATTGAGACGTTTCCGAGCACAAATGACGTCGCAAATAATGAAACAAGACGCTTAGAAAAGTGACGCGCGCGCGTGGCATGCTTATTGAATTATGATTATTTCATCGGCTGATAACGTTGCAGCAGCACGCAATCAATAAATCCATATTTCACACACCAACCGTCGAGGCTCTCCACAAGCACACACGACAGAACGGCGAAAGAAAAATGTTAGTGTAACACACGACGGGAGCCTCTGAATAAAAGCCGTCTCGACGCGGCATAAATTTGTTTTAGTCACTCGCTCGGTCACTCAGAAGCACATTTGTTTGGACTAGGGAACTTCACTTCCACTTTTCTTCAGTTTCATACTTATGAATAAAAGATTCATAAAAAGAAAGTATGAAATTTGAATCCAAACAAAAATCTTTGAAGCAAATGATGTAGTTGACAAGGCTTTCAGCTTCAGATTATTAATTTTTTGTTTATGAAAATAATTTTTTTACGCTCCTATAATTAATTTTTTAAGCTGTTATTACAAGGACTTGCATAAATTTAATTTAATTACTGTTTTTCATAAATTGTTTTATGATTTAAAATAACTAAACGAAACTAAGAATAATAAAAATGTGAATTTTATATTCAAACTAAAAATTCGTCATTCCTGACATCAGTAATTTAATTAAGAATTTCTGTGAATAAATATAAATATTTGATCTTTTAAAATGAATTAGCCAGCTTCAAAAAACAAATGTTTGAGTTTTACAAAATATATGTATATTTTTATACTTTCCTAATATTTCTGCAAATGTGGCCAAATTTGACGATTTTGATATTGGTAAGGTTCCCTTTGGAGTAAAATTGCATGTAGTGCCGTGTAATGCAGCTCTGAATTTATTTTGCCTGCGCCGAGTAAGATTATATATGAACATGTTTGGAGCTTACATACGGGCTCACTCTCTCGGATGCCGACTTTGTGCAGGAGAATTTTTTGAGGGGCAAACAAGCCCACTACACACGGCATGTTTGATATGTGTAGTATACCTGTGTGCGCTGGCTCTTGCGAAAAAATTATTATACCCTCTGCGCTATATATCGTCGAGTTCTCCATGCTGCAGAAAGGGCGGCTCTCTCTGCAGCATAATTTGGAGAGCGCAGCGGGCTCCGTTTATTAATATCTGGCGCTCTAACTGGCTCTGAGCGTTTTTGCCAATGAACCCAGTCCTTCCAACACGGAAGCTGTAGCAAAATTTTGTAACTCGTACTTTTTCATTAAAAATAAAATTATTTTTTGAATAATCAATATTCTTAATTTAAAAGAGTTTTTACTTACTTTTACTAGAAATTCAAATCAATCAAAATAATAGGCTCACTGCGCGGATGGGGTCTTTTTGATCTTGGAAGTTTTGGCAAAATTCTTGATAGTGGTGATGCCGTTTTGTCCACCAATTCCTTTTTTTCTCAAATAAATTGCTTTCAACACATGAATGTAAACAATGAGATGTAACAATTTAGACAAATAAACAACAATAAAAAAATTAAAATTTAATATTTAAAATATTGTTGAATGTATGAATTGGGTAATTATGGGATCAAAAATAAAATTCTAAATCAAGAAATTTCTTGGTTAAAAAAAGAAACGGGCCAAACGCATTTAAAAAGGCCACTAATAAAAATAATCCCTAGCTTTTATGATTGCGAAAAGTCCCTTATTTATGTATTTCCTCTCCGGAGAGGACAAAGGCAACCCTTTTATGAAATACACACCAATGATAGAGATCTTCTTTTTGTTCATGATTTCTTTTGTTGTTTCAGAGCAATGATGGCTGGTCCGAGAATGAAAATGTAAGTAATATTTATGAGATCCTGTACTTGCGACACAATTTTTTTTTGCACCCTTTTTTGCATTCCGTCAGTCTTTTTTTTATTGTGCTAAATCTGAGTCAGTGCAGCTGCTGGATTGGTTTGTGGGCATTTAAAACTTTTGTTATTTGTTGGTAGTGCTGTCGGATTTTTTGCGCCATTAGGGCTGCAAACAACTGGGCTTAGCACAAAAGGACGGTCGTTCAACCTGCTGCTGGCGGTGCTGCTGGCCTCTCAGTTAGTGATGCTGAAACTCCTGCTGGTCACACGGACAAAGCGGTGGCTGGGGGAAACTTTGCCCAGATTTATTAGAACACGGATTCTCTCACTTTTGTTGTTTCACTCGATTATCTTGGGAACAATCGCGTTGGCATTAAGCGGGGATTAAATTTGGGTCGGTGGAGCGCCTCTTAATCTGCAAATCTCTATTGTTTGGATTGTACAATTACCGACAACGCGAAATCAAAGGCTTTGCTGTTTCAAAAGAAAGTAATATAATTATAAAATCTCAGTTTCTTTTCCATCCAGTTTTAAAAAATACCAGAAAAGTTCATAAGAATTTCTATTTTTTTTTTCGTTTTTTTTATTCGCGAAAAAAATTTTATATCAGTTACATAGTCTGTAAGCAGTAACAATTTCGGTTAAATAAAATTAATAAATAAAGGGTCACCGGTGACTTCCACAATGAGTCATAAAGACATAAAATTCAACCGACCGTGACCAAATTTTTTAAATTTAATTGACGCCAATAAAACTGTTGGAAGAAGGAAAATGCCGTAACAATGTCAAGTTCAAAACTTACGGATATTATGCTCCCTTGGGTCCACACATTTAAGTCTGACAGTCTTGGCTACTGTTTTGCTCAGAACTTCAGAACCATGGCCCACGGTCCACATCACCCACACCAATTATAGTGATTGATGTTCATAGGAGCGTTCAAAACTATTTATAACAACACATGCAGACACATGGAACGTTATTTTATATAGTCAGTTTTTCATTCAAGATAAAATATAAAATTAAATAAATAAATAATTAAGATACACTTATTTATTTTTAACATATATTTTTTTATTTAGAATTTTTTTTATAATCTTTTATCGAATCGGAATAAAAATTATTCAACCTTCCAACGTTTATTAATCTTTTTTTCTATTTTGGCACAGTATAAAAATTATGAAAGGAACAAAGCATAATATGATTTAATAATCATTATACTTTGCCAGATCGGCGTTTTTTTTTCTTCTCTCAGTTGGAATTTTGTAGCAGTGGAGAGGGCACTGCAGCGATTGGCATTCACTTATTTATAACCCTTTCGGCGAGAGCAGGGAATCGATGCGCGCTTTTTCTTTTTGGCTCTCTCGTTCGAGCAGGTGACATCTAGGATAAAGAATTCCACCTGTGCGCGGCGGAAAGAGCTCGCGAGGTATCGCTGCTGCCGCCTGCCGCCTATGCTTGCCCGCGCGACGCCGCCGCCGTTTTTTTTTTTTTTTTTTTTTTTGAAACGTGCTTGGGCGGGTTCAATTAACCAACGTTGTGTGTATCGTGCTTTGCCGTGACGTCACCGTTTCCACAACGTCAGCATCCAAGCCACCACAACTCGGGACTAATGCGTACACCAGTCTAGTAGGCCTAGCAGGCACCAGCAGTATAGACACACACCGCGAGACGAGTGCGACCGACCATGATTTAAAAATAGCACCCCCGAGGGATGACTGGAAAGAAGAAAAAGAAGGAAGGCCAGCCGGGATTGTTCAAAAAGGTCTCCTCGATTTTCGGCAGCGGCGATTTGGTAATAATTAATCAACGCCGAGTCAATTTCCTCCTCCGAATGCTCCAGTTTGAAAGGGGTGTCCGGGGGATCTCGCGGTTTCGCAGTCTTTCGAGAGTGGTCAGTGTAGGTGTTCAAGGGGTCATTTTATATTGAAAGGAATTGCGGTCCGGCGCTGGCACAGGGGCGTGGCGCTCCAGCAGACGTGCGAAGCTTTTAATGAGCTGATTATTATTGGGAAAACCCTATACAAAATGGGCAAAATCCAACAGGTTTGCTCGGGAGGAAATCAGGAGTTTTTTTTCGCATCCGATACTGTGCATTTTATCAAAAAATTTTGTTTTCTGAATTATTCAAATTCGTTTTTGAATATTTCGACGGTGTTATTGTTAGGCAAATAAGTTGTTTTGAAATTTCTGGTGCGTGACGGAATTTTTATTAGAGCGTACATGGACGGTGCACTTTTTGACTCCACTCCCCCTTTTCGCAGTTTCAGCCGAGCGGTTTTTGGAAGTGAATTTGTACGCTCTTTGCCAATAAGCTGGAGCCAGTGTTGAGCAATACTTCCTTATTTGCTAAGTGGGACTCCGTCAAAGGTTGAATTGCCCTCCCGTGCGTCATTAATTGGAGCCAGAATTCTCTCTTTTGCGGCTGCTTTTTTACTCAGAAAAATTAATGTTATTATTTCTATTCATTTTAGAATATCTCAAAAATTTCTTTTGATTCAATTTAATTTTTGTTTTTATTCCTTTTGAAGGTGAACGGTGGTAGTGGAGGCGGTGGTCACCTGGGCAGCTCCGTGGGCTCATTGGACATGGCGCCGTCTTCACCCCAAACCCAACAGCAAGAGAACCCCGAGTACGTCACTGAAGACATCTGTCTTGAGCGTGGTGGCGCCGGACTGGGCTTCAGCATCGCCGGTGGCACTGACAACCCTCACCTGGCAGGTGGTGACTCGGCCATCTACGTCACCAAACTCATCCCCGGTGGCGCAGCATGGGCTGACGGCCGCCTGAGGGCCAATGATGCCATTCTTAAGGTGAACCTTTTTAGAAAAAAGTCAATTAAACTACCTTCTTTTATTTTCTTGGTTGCGGTTTATTTCATCCAACTAATGAAATAATTTTAAAAATAATTAATTTGATTTATTAAATTTTTTTTCAAAGATCATTTAATGAGATTTAGAATTTTAAAAATCAATATCCTTAAATTGGCGTTTACTTATTGCAACCATTGCAACTATAAATAATTTTAGATCTTGCTAGAAATAAACCTGCTATCGTCAAAACCAGATAACCTTCATTTTTATTGCTGCCCTAGAATTTTATTATTTCTTATTTCCTCATTCTTTTTCCACTGTACTCTTTAGTCTTTACCCATATCTTTCCTGAAAGCAAGAGTGCTAATAATAAAAAGAAACCTATTAATGCATGCACTCCAGTTTGTCCCGTGCTGTTGTTTAGAAATTTGTTTTAGCGTATGGCTGATAATTAGAATTTGGTTATCAGTTTGCGATGTTTGCCAGGGCATTAGCGAGGCGTGGGCCCTCCAGCAACTCTTGAGCCTGTTTGTTTGTTTGTTGCACGCCCGTGATGCAATTTTTGTCAATTTGCAGGTGAACGATACCAACGTGGAATGTGTGCCGCACGCAGCAGCTGTCGAGGCTCTCAAACAAGCTGGCAATACCGTCAGACTGGTGAGTCGACCAACCAACCACACTTTGATCGTAACGCAATTTTTTGGAGCTAATTTTAGACAAGGGCGGTGTCTTTGGGAGAGAAATTCTTAGCTCCTTATTATTAGTTGCATGAGCCTGAACCGGCTTCCGACAAAATGCAAAGTACTAAAAATAAATAACAGGATCTGAATTTCTAAAGAATTCTCTCACCCTTTTTGTAATGCGAGGGTGTTTGCAAGCAACTTATGGCCGGGAATCCAATTTGCGGGTGTCATGTCCAAACAAGCAGTTTGAAGGCTTCTTACTTATTATTGCCGTAATTGCAGTTTGTGCGACGACGTGCCCCTTCCAGAAGTTCTGGTGTCATCGAGATCGAGCTCATTAAGGGCACCAAAGGTTTGGGCTTCAGCATTGCAGGCGGCATCGGCAACCAGCACATTCCTGGTGACAATGGCATTTATGTCACAAAGATCATGGACGGCGGCGCCGCCCAGGCCGACGGACGCCTCAGCGTGGGAGACAAACTTGTTGCTGTCCGCAACACTCCAGTACGTAATCGTTTTGAACCAATTTAAATTTTTAATATCATCTGTTAGTAAAAAATTGATACTCTGTCAATATAAAAGTCTTTCTGAAATGATTAACTTCATTTTTGCTTTTTTAGAATGGGGAAAGCAGCCTTGAAAATGTGACCCACGAAGAGGCAGTCGCCGTTTTGAAACAGACCCAGGACAGAGTGGTCCTGCTGGCATGCAAGCCCACGCAGCCCTCGTTGACTGTGACAGACGCCCCCAGGCCGCCCCCATCGCCTTCACCGCCTCAAGCGTTCCGCCAGGAGTCTCCGAACCCTGTTCGAGAACTCCGAGAAGAACTGCCGCCAATGAGGTACTCGGAAAGCCTCACTCCGCTGGGCATGATGCCTCCTCCTCCGGCCCGAGCAGTCAGTGAGGAAGACATTACTCGCGAGCCGAGGACCATTGTTTTGCAGAAGTCGCCCTCAGGAGCGCCTGGAAGCTCTGGCGGAGGCTTGGGCTTCAACATAGTTGGCGGAGAGGAGGGAGAAGGAATTTTTGTCTCCTTCATTCTGGCCGGTGGCCCCGCTGACTCGGGTGGCCAACTGAAGAGAGGAGACCAAATTCTTAGTGTAAACGGACAAGATTTGACCACTGCCACACATGAAGAGGCAGCCCAGGCCCTTAAGGTAATTGCTGCCTAATCACAATAAAACCTAGCTAACTTTAAAATTTAATCAGGGCGCTGGACACACAGTACACATAGTGGCGCAGTACAAACCTGAAGAGTACAACAGGTTTGAGGCCAAAATTCAAGAGTTGAAACAACAAATGAACCAGCAGCTGCTGTTGGCCAGCAGCAACCAGAATCTGAATGCGGCAGCAAATAGTGCAAATAATGCAGGCACAGGTACTCTTTTGAGAACCTCGCAGAAAAGATCCCTATACGTTAGGTGAGTTAAAGAAAAAGAAATTATTTACATTTTGATTAAATTTACTTTGAATTCCAGGGCACTTTTTGACTATGATCCAAGTAAAGACGACGGACTTCCATCTCGGGGGCTTCCTTTTAAGCACGGGGACATTCTTCATGTGGTTAATGCCAGCGATGACGAGTGGTGGCAGGCCAGGCGCCTCCCATCAAATGGAGACTCGACGGAGCCTCTAGGTCCGTTAGGAATAGTGCCATCAAAGAGAAGGTGGGATAGAAAGCAAAAGGCCAGGGATAGGTCAGTGAAATTCCAAGGACATATTGCCACATCCAATGACAAGGTATTTTTTGTCCTATTTACTTTTTTATTTCTGATGGCTATTTTTTTCTCAGCAATCCACTTTGGAGCGCAAAAAGAAGAATTTCTCTTTCAGCAGGAGATTCCCATTCATGAAGAGCAAAGACGAAAGGTCTGAGGATGGATCTGACCAAGAACGTGAGTTTCAAATGACAAATTTTAGCACGACCCCACTCTTCTCAGTTGAAATATTCACACAGTATTATTACTTATATTGAATTTGGCATGGTCCCCTGTCAAAGTGCCTTCTCCTCTATCTCCCTCTATCTATCTTTGTGTGTGCTTACAGTGAGTCCAACAATGTCGCCCGGAGATGCTGATGGACAAAATATGCGTGAGTATCCTACAAACTAAAACCGACCGTTCTTTATACACCTGCATGGTCTTCTGATGCTTTTTCTGCCAACTTACTAAAATTCTAACGAATGTTTGCCAACTTGCCATCACTTCACGCACCATCACGATCAGAATACTAATCATTTGGCTCGGCACATTATTTACTTTGAATGGTTCCGGGAAGGGTTTGTCATGCACATAATATAGCGCGAGGTTTGTTATTCTGGTTTATATTATTTATTTTTCATTCATAAGCTTTTTGCATTGCTTAAAATATGCTAATTTTGCAAATAATGGTGCTTGAATAAGAATTTAACAAGGTAAAAAAAATCCATGACTCACAACACGAACAGATTGATCAATTTTGAGTTTTGTGGCTACCTTTAAACTTTCACACATGCGGGTAGTGCAAAGCCAAGCATCATTTACGGTGAAATAGCTAAGCTTTGTGCTCCTATGTTACAGCCTTCATGCTTTGTTACACTCAAGATGAGGCTCAACACGAAGGTGAGAATACTAACGCCAAACTAACCCCATCCAAAGCTTTAATTTTCACCAATATTTTTAAAATCATTGATATGTACTTTTGCAATACAGGTATGGACGATGACGTCGGAGGAAATGTCTTGTCTTACGAAACCGTGAGGCAGGTCACTGTCCAGTATGCAAGACCTGTCATCATATTGGGTCCTCTCAAGGATAGAATCAACGACGATTTGATATCTGAATTCCCTGATAAATTTGGATCGTGTGTCCCACGTAAGATAATCAAATCTTTTCTTATAAATTAAACTCAATTGTATTGTTATTTTAGACACAACGCGAGCAAGACGAGAGTACGAGGTGGATGCACGGGATTATCACTTTGTCAGTTCACGGGAACAAATGGAGAAGGACATCCAAAATCACATGTTTATCGAAGCCGGTCAGTATAACGAAAACCTGTATGGAACATCGGTGGCCTCCGTGCGCCAAGTGGCTGAGAAAATGAAGCACTGCATTCTGGACGTGAGTGGCAACGCCATCAAGAGACTACAAGTAGCTCAGCTTTATCCCATCGCAGTATTTATCAGACCAAAGTCTGTTGAGTCCATTATGTAAGTTAAAAAATTAAGAAGGAATTACTAGAATTAAATGGTGATTTGTTCTTAGGGAAATGAACAAAAGAACAACTGAGGAGCAAGCAAAGAAGACGTATGAGAGGGCTCTGAAAATGGAGCAAGAATTCGGAGAGTACTTCACTGGTAAGTTTTTTTGTTTTTTACTTTATTTATTGCAGGTCATTAATTGAAATTGTGCAGCTGTTGTTACTGGCGACACTCCAGAGGAAATCTATGCGCGCACGAAGGAAGTGATCAGTAGCCAGTCTGGGCCAAGCATTTGGGTGCCATGCAGGGACCAGCCTCTGTGACACGGGGAGTCGGCGCCTAGCCGCAACCCTTCTGCCGACCACTGGGTCATGCCCTCACGATAGACATACATCACCCTTTTTAATGAGTCCTTCCAAAAAAATGCCCAGATTGTATTTGTTATCGAAAATAATATTGGACGCCCCCTGCTCCCATGTGTTTGTTTTTGTAAAAACAGTAAGTCTGTCACACTATATTTTTTAAATTGTTTATTTTTAATTTGTATTTTCCATGTTGTTGATACTTATTAAATGTAACTGTGGATAAATCTGTGAGTGTCGGAAGAATTAGAAGAATGCGTGCCCATTTGTTTTTGTGTACTTTTAACCAGAGGGACATTTCTCGTATCCTAACATTTGTATCAAGAGGATTAACACGTTGGTCGAATTTGAACCATGAGCATTAGATTAAAGAAAATATTGCCTTCAATCTGTCAGAATATAAATAAAAAAGTATCAACTATGAAACCAATCTGGTGCATTTCTTGAGAATATTTAAGCTCAAATTATTGTTAGCTGCTGAGAATCAAAAGAAGAATGAATTTTCGGGACACGAGTGTAACTTTAAAATCTGCTTAACCTCCCTAAGAATCTCCCTTCTTGCCTACATACTTGTAAAAATTGATTTACAAAACTTGATTAAGATCTTAAGAAATTTAAAAGTTTAAACGCAGCCCATCTTCGCAACTATTGTAACAATTATTCCATGTTTTGTCAACAGAAAAATCTTCATGACGGAGAGACTGTGCTGTTTCCAATTAAAATTAATCTTACTGCCAGTTATTTTGAATCTCCCAAAATAGCCTGCCCTCTTGAAATATATTGTTAACGTTCAAGATAATGAAAAAATATTAGCATATATAATGAATGTTACTGTAATGGTAAGGATTAATTGCTACCTGCTGTTACGTCCTATTGCATCAACAGATGATTTTAGCAAAAGTTAGAGACAATGAGGGTTAAGTTGAAAATGATTGTTTGATGTCCTGAATAATATTGAGTATTACAAAGAATTGTTTCAAGGCTGTAAAATGAAAATTGAAAATAACATAAATAGTTCAATATTAATATAATGCCTATAAATTATTATGATTTGTGGTGTGTGTACTGTCATAATGTAAATAAATTTCCCAGACAAGCCATTACAGAATAAAGCTTTTTGAATTAATTAACCAGACCCTAGATAATTAAGAGATACACAAATTTATTTGCAAGTAAAATTGTACCAGCATTTTTACATACTATTTTGCAAAGCATGGTATTTTTGTATAAAAATCTCGCTTTCAGATTTTGCCAAGGTCTTAGAAGCTCTCATATACAATCCAGCAATGAGAGTTTTACTTCCAAACTTCAGCTCGAAATTAATGAAGTCCATCCAGATGTCTAAACAATGCGAATTAATTCATTTTGACAAGGATAAAAATAAATAGCGGGATTCACCTGAATCATTTCCTCCAAATTGATCACACGCAAGTTCATAGCATTTTCGAGCACTTTTGACGTCCACTTTTTCCTGCTGCAATTCTATTTCCACCATCTTCTTATGCAAATCAATGCTGAATGGTGGCACAATGCTCAAGGTACTGTACAAAGAACGGCAAGCTAGAAGACCTAAAATATTTGATGAGATAATTTATTTTAAACCACGACAAAAAAAAAAATATTACCTTTGCGTTCAAAAATAAAATTTAAATGCATGATCTTAATTTTGCTGACAGACTTTGACTTTCCACTTGATGACTTCCTAAAAAGTTTCTCCAAAAGGGATTCGTCATCCGCAAAATGTTCAGTCATCAGAAGCCAAAGTTCAAGCTCTTCATCAGATTCGTTTAATTCTTTGATTCCGCATTCAAAGATTTTCTTGCTCTGGAGAAAAGAATTTATTAAATTTCTAATGTGATGGTTTTGCATTTCAGTCACCTTATCCTTGCTATTTTGAACAAAACTTAGTTTCAATCGAGCCATCCAAAGATCCAAATCCTTTGGATGCCTATCAGTTGCCACTTGAAGGACCTCCTCAATTTTGTCCTCGTCGTCACCCAAGTATTCAATCTAATATTTTTCAATGAGCAAATTGCCAAAGTTATAAATTTTATTATTATTAATCCTTACATAGTAGCTGTAATAAGCGGAGGGGAGTTTTGCCCGAATGTGAGCATCATCCAAAGTTTCTTTCAGCAGCCTGTGTAGAAGGTTTGGATAACCATTTATTTTGTCATCAGCCTCTGCTTTTTCCAAAAGATCTAGAAGAATTTCAATAAACTGGCTCCAGCTTTCCTCAGTATTAATCTCCTGCACTGCCTTGTTCAAAATATCATAGGCAAATCTTGAGAAAAATTAAATAATTTAAAAAAAAAAACTTACAAATAAATGACATGCTTACAATATTTGGCGCTTTGTTGGCTTCATATCAGGACACTTTTTCCTCTTGTAGAACAATTTAGGGTTCATTTGACCTTCAAACAAGAATCCTTCCAACTCCAAGCGGGCCAAACAAATCCAAGTTGACAGATCACCAGAGAATGTCTCCGTCATTTTACTGAAGTTATAAGTATTCAATTTATGTTATTCAATTTCAATTAATTTCAAATCATTACGTTTTAATTGCATTGTGCATCATCGGCACAAAATCGAAGTCAAGGACAATTTTCAACAAGGAGCAGAGGAATTCGCAGGAATTGACTTTCTCAATAGCCGTCTCATACATAACCTGGGCAAGAGCCCCTTGCATGATCATATCGGCTGCTTGGAAAAATATTATTATTTTTTAAATAAGATTCATTATAAGTTAAACCATTTAGATCAGGCTCCTTCTTGTTTTGAAGAGCCTCCTGAATGGCTGCACTCCTGAGGTCACTGGCGTATTTTAATTCAAGCCACACAGCCTAACGACAAAGAAAGGAATTAGCATGTATTGAAAATAAATTCTGTTAAACTTTACTTCCGAGTAGATGAACTCTGAGTGAGGATGGTGTCGCATGCCTGTGAGGAGAAAAGCACGAGCGCTCTCAATGTTATCGCACTCCAAGTACTCCCAGTGTGCTGCAATTTGCCACATTTGTTCCTTGTTGCCGTGAAACTTGAGCATCTTTTCTAAATTTCTGCTGACCTCCGAGAATCTCCTCTATAAAATATAATTGGTATGTAATTAACGATTCAGCAGATTTCAAAAATTTAAATCTATGCCTCTGATTTGCAGAACTTTATGTACGTCAGCCACAGCTTGATGTCTTCGGGGAATCTTGTAACAGAGCAGTAGAGCAGATGCATAATTCGGTTTATGATGAATTTACAAAGTTCTCTCTTTATCTTAGCAGTGTTCTCTGAAGCTTGGAAGCTCTGCAATACACACGGTTTAGAAATGAGGAGATTTTGATTATTTAGTTTCTTGTGATATACCTGAAGCTTCAATCGGAGGAGTTTGAGCAAGTCGACCTCGTATTGAATATATTTCAAGTAATCCTCCTTGCTCTTGTTTCGCTTCTGTACCTTATACTCCAAATCTTTCCTCTTTATCGTGATCTCTCTGTCAACGAAACAAAAATTAACATCCAAATTATATACATATTTTCATAAAACAAAAGAAATAAAAATCCCAACCTTATCTCGTCCATTCCGAACAGCTCAAACTTGGCGTACTGCTCCAATTCTGGACGCATTTCCTCCAAACGAAGTTGCACAAACTCTGCCATTTTCACAAAATGTTTGACAAAACCGAAGTAAATTCACAAAGTACGTTCTGGTGATTTTTAAACAACGAAAAGCCCAAAACAATTTCAATTCACAATCGCTCACTGCTCTGCGCTCACGTGTTGTTTTGATTTTTGATTCATAATAGGCGCTGAAGAATTACCAACGGCCTAACTATCTTGAAATTTTCTTTAAATTATTGTAGCAAAAGAAACAGTCAACATTTTTATTTATTATATAAACTATTTTATAATTTTTTCATAATTTATAACTAAATTTTTTCTCTTTATTTAAAGAAAAGTAAAAACATTTATTAGTAAACTCTGTAATTTTGGTAACACATCCTTCATGACGTCACAAAAAGCGCCATCTTTTATCGTGAAACTAAAATATAAACAGCCGACGAGCCGACAGATCGCATTTATGCAGATTGAAAACACAGCATTTTTACAATTGTATTTTTCCTGCAAAATCGTGTTTGAGCCTCTGATTGTTTATAGTAAGTTGAGATTGATTATATTTTTAGAGGAAAATATTGAAAAATGTGTGCACAGGTTGCTGACTCATCAATGGGACGTGAAAGTCCGGCCAGCAAGAGGCGGCGACGCAGCTCAAGTTCATCATCAAGCTCGTCTTCAAGCAGCTCCTCTTCAAGCTCCAACTCTGACAGAAGAGCTGAAAGGTCGTCGTCGAGGAGCCGGAAAAGATTAAACGGCCCTCAACGTTCTCAAAATCGTTCCCCTCGTCAGCGGAGAAATCCTAGCGGCTCCGGGGAGCGCAATGGACGCGCTTTGTCCACAGCCTCCTTTGACTCGTTAGACTTAGAGAAAATGACCAAGAAGAAAGATGCCGTAACCTCGCTGAGGGAAAAGCTAGGCACAGATGCTAGCAATAGTGATGAGCCGCAGACCAAGTCTGCTGAAGGGCCTCGCTCGTCGAAAGTGTCCACAGAAAGGAAACCTGCCCGGCCCTCTCCTCCTTCCAGAAAACGCGGTTCTCCCCAAAGAAAGCGCAGTGTTTCTCCAACAAAAGCCAGAGGAAGGCAGTCCAGATCGCCCCAAGCTAGGAGGAGATCTCGGTCTCCTAGGCGTAGGTCAAAATCTCCTCCGAGGAAGCGCTCACCCCCTAAAAGGATATCACCCAGACGGAACCATAAACCATCAGAAAACCACAGAAGGAGATCCAAATCACCACCGGTGCAAAGGAGCCACGTGCAATCCGAGGAATTCAACAAAACTAGGAAAGAAACTTATACAAAGTCTGAGAGCAGCAGGTCGAGGCCAACCTCTGACAAGAAGCAGAGGTCGCTTTCACCTGATAACAGATCTAAGTTTGAGGACCGGAGGCCGAGGAGGAGTTCACCTGGCAGACCGACTAGGAGAGGCTCGCAGGAGAAACGAAGGTCCAGAAGCTTCGAGCGCCCTGAGATGAAGAGCAATGACAGGCCTATCAATAGCAGAGGGTCAATCAATGATAAACGGTGGAAGCATGATGGGTAAATTGGTTTTGAATTAGAGTTAACAAAATTTTTATTTTTCCTCTATTTTTAGAGGGAATTTGAATAGGTAACAATATTCTTCTGCGATTGATTATTGTTAATTTTACTTTAACTTTGTAAATTTTCCTTTTTTTCTTAGATACATCGAGCTTGAAAGTGAATCCACAATTGCCCCACAGAGCTCAGGCAGCTTTGACAAGGGATATGGAAAGCGCAAGTACCAACCCAACAGTGATCCATACATGGATGCCCGTAGAGCTCAGCGTGTGGATATCTGTGAGACGGGTGTCATGAGTTTGTGGTCCTCCTCCCCCAGACCTCCTTCGGACAGGTGTGTATTTTAATTTTACTGAATTCAAGCAAATTTCATTCATTTATTAAATTTTTTTTCAATTCACAGAAAATTGTGGTAAAATTGTTTCATAACCCAATATTATTTTTATAAGTATTACAGATTTTAAATTTTTTTTTGCCAATCATTTTCCAGCTCTGACGATGAGAAGAAGAAAAAAGATTCTCCAGAAAACGAAGAAAAGAAAAAGAAGAAGAAGCTTATGAAAAAGCTTGAAAAGAAGATAAAGAAAGAGATCATCGCTGAGATGCTGAAGAAGGTGAAACTGGATTTTTTTTAATTGGTGGCTAACTTGCAATGGTTATTCCCTCTCAGGACAAGAAGAAAAAGAAGAAGAAAAAGAAAAAGAAGGATACAAGTAGTGACAGCAGCAGCAGTCACAGTGGCGACGAATGGGTTGAGAAGCCATGTAAATTTTAATTCTGAGAAAAATTTGTGTTAATTTAGTTTTCTTTAATTTTTAGCTAAATCTAGCAAGTCCAGTAAGAAAGACAAAGGTGCGAAAGGAAGTGACGATGAAGGCGGAGTGGTCGGGCCAAACTTGCAGAAGATTTCACTGACCCACAAGGAAATGGGCAGAGCCCTTTTGCCTGGTGAAGGTGCGGCCATGGCCGCCTATGTTGCTGAAGGAAAGCGAATTCCGAGGAGAGGTGAAATTGGTCTAACGTCAGACGAAATCGCCTCCTTCGAGTCAGTCGGATACGTGATGAGTGGCTCAAGGTATTATTTTTTTTCGGCCCTGAAACCATTTTAAAAATTTTTTGTTCAGACATCGTCGAATGGAGGCTGTCCGTATTCGAAAGGAAAACCAGATTTATTCGGCTGACGAGAAACGCGCTTTGGCCATGTTCAGCAAGGACGAGAGGCAAAAGCGAGAAAACAAAATACTTGGACAGTTCAGGGAAATGGTTTCCGTGAAAATGCAGAAGAGGAACTAAATCAATAGAAGGGCTTATCTTTTATTAGTGACACCTCTGTTTCAAAAATGCTTACTAAACCTTCTTTTACAAAAACAAAAGCACTATTTATTTTAATATGCCCTGTTGTAACAGTTGAAAGTTCATTGCTCTATATCGAAATAAAAATCTTGGCCATATTATACCAAAAAAATAAATATTTTGCATTCTTGTCAGCAATTTGTAAATCGGCTAATTTACTTGAGCTTAGATTAAATTGAAATTGCCTAACTTTTTTAATCTCTTGAAGGAATATCAGTAAGATTAATTTGTAAGTTTCAGTCCTTATTTTTTCTTGGCTGACTTTTATTTTATATTTTTCATGGCTACATTAAATTTTTTCATCAAATACCTCAAATTTGAGACGCTCTGCATTTAAGCATCACGTAGATTCCCTGATTTATTAGCATGATCCAACACACATCAGTCGTTAATTACCACTCGCAGCCATTCATTTGATTGCTTTATAGCCAAAGCCACCAGCAATGTACCATTCAAGGCCAAGCGCGCGATGCTGTGATACACGTTGCTCTTTGGCAGTGAAACGAAATTCGCCATTCCAGCTACTTTCATCTCTGCGCGCTGACCCAAATTCATACCCGGCCCATCGCAAAACAGTTATATCTCCAAATGTAGACGACATACTGACTGATTTCAAGTAAAAAAAAATATTGATTCCTGTTGTATATTGCTTGTAACTTGTAATGAAAAAAAATTAAATTGAGCTAATTTTTTAATGTTATAAAAAGATACGCAAAGGGAAATTTTTTCAGTTGCAAAGAAATATATAAAAAAGCACCAGTAGATAAAATTTGGCTGATCGAATTTATTAAACTTTTGCATTTTGTTGCCACAAAAAATCAAATTCTCATAAATTACTTTATTCTAAGAATGAAAATAAATAATTTGTTTTCGTAGATACTATTAATTGTAACATTTTGCTAATTTAATTTCCATAAACAATGATTTTGATAATAAAGCACTAATTTTATGCTGCATTTTGTAGATAATAGCCCTTTTGCTAATTAATTTTTGAACAATTTTTTCATTCATTGTGAAGATTTAAAAAAGAAAAGTAATTTCATTCTACTTGATTTTACTTTAAATTATTTCAGACTTGTAAGCATGATTAATAATTTATTTTGCTGTTATAAATTTTTCTTTAATAGCAGCCAATTTCATTTCTTTTTGGCCTTTTTACTAAATTTTGATAAAATTTAGTATACTTATTGCAAAGTTTTTAGCCTCACTAATATATGTAATTAATTATTAATTATTTTCCAAGCACGTTAAAATTAAAATTTGTTTTTCTGTTTATTTAGTTACGAGTTTCATAAAAATAATACGTGTTTTAAATTTATGAAGAAAAAAATCAATCCTAAATTTTAATTTTATTTTAATATTTAAATCCCTTCTTACGTTCTTGCTCTAAAAATTTTGCATTTATTTGTGATTTTACAATTTATTCTTCATTTTTTTTAGTACAATTTTAGTTCTTGCAAGAAATTTTAATTACCTGTTATTCATATTATTTCTTAAATTATTTCATCTGTTTAAGTCAAAATTTTGGGCAGCTCAATTTTATCAGAAATTTAATCAGCAAAAATGTTCACACATGCGCGTGTAGGGACGAACAAAATGCAAAAGCAAGCATACACAATCAACAAAGCCCGCGCCGTCCTTTTAACTCTTTCGCTGGCAGTGGTGCGCGTTTTTTCAGCCACCCCGTGCGCAGCCCGCCCGCCCGGCTTCCTCGGCCCGACACAGGCGTGGACGGCTCTCGGACCGACGAGGCCGCATCTACCGGAAAGCGCGCCGTCGCCGCTGGCGCGCTCGGGCCGCGATCAGATGGCGTTGGCGCCGGGGCGCAGCGTTCGCGGCCGCGAGCAGCACTCGCGGTCGCCAGCAGCCCACTTCCCCCTCCACCCATCAGTTGGAGATAAACCTCGCAGGCCGTCACACGTCCCAGTGCAATTCGTGCGAAAATGACGTGCTAACCTGGCGAATTAATCAACCGTGGACGTCGAGCTCAAGTGCACCAGATCGGCCGACTCGCGCTGCCGCCGACTGGCCGAAATCTGGTCGAATTTGGCCGCTCGGAGAGTGCGGGCGAGGTATTTTGAGTGGCGGGTGTCGCGGCGGCCAAGCCAGCAGCCAGCGTTGTGCAATAAGACACACAGTTGTTTCCTTCGCTTCCTGCTCTCGTGTGCAATTTTCGTTTGCGGCGCCGAATTCCGTTCGGCCGGAGACTCATTAAACGCCGTTATCGCTTCCCTTAACCCTTTCTCAGGCCACACCGAGCGCCGAGGACGTCGTAGTTGCGTGTAATGGCGCCTCCTGACCTACTCTCCCTGACTGCCTAGACAAGTGCATCTCGGCCGCAATCTAGCTTCGATCCAAGGTGAGCACTAATTAATTAATTCAATTGCCCATTCGTGGCCCTTCCGATTGACCGGGGCTCGGTGATCGACCGCGAGCTCGGCTGCAATTCGTGTACGAGGCGCTGCAGCTCCAATCGTTTCCTCCTCAATCGTCTGATTTTTTTATAAATTGATAATAGTAATTATCAGAAATTTTAAAAAATTCGAACATAAATAAAAATAAATTCAAGCTCTTTATTCAATATTTCTAAAATATGTTCATCAATTATTACAATTTAAGCCTGATCAGAAAAATTGGCAAACGAAGGAAGTGTTTTGGTCTAACATACCAATTAATTATTAAAAGTGATCTCACTCATATTTCCTTCAACTTTTGAAACAATTTTATGGTGTTCCTTTATTGCAAGAGGAACAAAATCGATTAATTAAAATTTCATCCCATTTCTCTGAACAGCACCATTAGTTTATTCTAATTAACCGCCATCCGTTTTGCATATTGAGGCCGAGCGCGAATTTGTCACACCCGCTTGGAGTGAAAAGTTTGCGAGATGAAACAATTTCGCAAAAGCGGCCGCCACTCATTCTTTCTTTCTTTTTTTTTCTTCAAGTGCAGACTGATGGCGGCGGCGGGTGGACGGGAAGTTGCGATATTGCTCTGCTCATTTTCACGCAGTTTCGCGCCGCCTTCTCGGCTTGGAATTTTATATTTTTATATAATTCCAGTTTTATAATATTGGAGTTTTTGCGTCTCTCGCAACTTCGCAAGCACAACAATCGCGAATTTATTTTTACAGCTGGGAGCGTTTCTTGCTGGTGAAAGAGAACCGGCGACGATTGCACTTTTAATCGATTAGCGGAACTCGCCTCTTCAAATATATAAATGCTGCAGGGAGTTTGATCGGCACATAATACATGCCGCGCCTTGGCCATTTCATCTCTTGAGAGATCACACGCTTTTACCGGACGCTCAGCTTGTTTCTTTCATCATTAATACATCTTCAAGCTGCGCTCACTTTGAGATACGGTTTTTATAACATTTGGCGTTGGAATGAAATTCTTCCAATGGGAAATCTGTGCCCTTTGAATTAAGGCCTGAATGGAAGAAAAAAATACTGCAATGACGATGAAATCACTTTTCATTATTTCTGAGAAGGATCGTTTTCTCTCCTTATAAAGAAACAAAATCAAAACCTCGTTTAGTTTTGTTTAATTTTACAAATTTAAAATCCCATGAGATTTAATAATTATTTTATTTTTTTTTATTGCAATCATTTGAAAAATATAAAATGTATTTTGCATTTAAGAGAAGTATATAGCGCGTTGAAAGTGGTAAATAAGACTATATACAGAGATAGCAGAGATTTTATAAAAATAAAAATAAAAATTATTATTCAAAATGAAATCCGGACGAAAATAAAACAATTGCAAAGACAATTGAATTCTATTTTAATCCACGCTCTCAATTAAAAGCGATCTGCGAATTACATAATAAATGACATTATTTTTAATACCGCACAGTGCTTTTCATAGCATTATTCCCTTGTGGCGTGCGCAGAGTTACAAACCAATATAGATTCAGATAATTCTGTTGTGATTTATTAGTTTCCCAACCAGATTTTTATTTAAAATGAAGGCATTAACTAGAATGCTATGCGGAAGCATATTTATTTAATGTTGTTATTATTTTTTAATGAAATCGTTTTTTTTTTATAAATCACCAGCGTGGATTTTGTGCCAAGTTTCGGTGCTTATCGGCTGGAAGGAAGCCCAACAAATTAGCCAGGTGCCGGCTGGACTTAGTAAAATGCCCTCATTTGGTGGAGGAATTCCGACGACTCGAGGGAAGGGCGCAATGCTTGAGCAGGCAGGATTGAATAATTAATCCCTCAAATCTCCATAAAGTCTGCTAAAATGTTAAAAGTTTCATACTTTAAGCTAAATTAGCTCAGTTCATCATTCAAAATAAACCTGCCATTTTCCGTTTTGGATTAATCTGTTTGGTTTTGAAATTCCCAAAGATTAATCAGGCAGCAACGTTTCCGGCGTTTATAAATTACTCTGCGTGCCGCTTGTCAAAAGGAAAAAAGTTATTCGCATGTGTTCGCAGCACCCACACGCATACCCAGTCAAAACAGCCACAGAGAGCAAACCTCGGCCGTGCGCAGTCGCCATTTAACAGCGAAATTGCTTAATGGTCGGTCTGAAAGTCTTGGCTAATTTATTAAAGCTCAAGTGTTGTGTGTAGCGGCGCGTCTGTTTACTATGAGCCCATTAAAAAGATACGACTCGCGCTGTCACGCCGGTCGAAAAAAAAAAGCAAAAACAATCGCCTGTCAAATTAGGAAACTTCTCCTCCGAGATGCTCATTTCTCGGTGAACAATTATCGTTTCGCGATCGGATCACTCGCTCGGCTGAAATAACTAGCGTGTCTCTCGTCTTGTTGCTCGAATTGAATTATCATCATCGCGGCGGCAGCCTCGAATTCCGTGCGCTGCTCTCTCGCACATACAGAGATTATCAATCTCTCTCTCGTGCGAGCGAGTGGAAGAGCGCCGGAGAAAGAGCTTTTGCGCCGAGGTTTTGAGCAAATATACGCGAGGATTTGTCTCCCTTTTGAAGTGGCCTAATCAAGACATCAAACGAGCCTTTGCAAATTGAATTTGAATGAAAAGGGGGTTTAGCGGACATAGCAATTCTTATGCAAAACTTGTCTTGTGGGGATTTTTTCTTAACTTTTGGTTGTTACGTTTTTCATTAATTTGCTAAATATTATATTATTATATTTATATTAAAAAGTATTCTTTGAATAATTTAACTTTTCACTAAAATTAGACAGAAATAAAGTAAAAATTAAAGGAACGTAATTGGTGGCTAATGAAGCAAGTTTGTTACTTGTTTACTTATATATTGACCCCATTATTATTATTTTTTTTAAGAGGCTTTTACGTGGTTTCACTGAAACTGTGCGAGAAAATCTTGGCTTTAAAGAATGGAGTATTCAGAACAAAATTTAGACTTTTAATTGCGAAATTATTATTTTTTTTTTAAATGGCTCAAAAATTACAATATATTAGAGTCACAAAAAAATTTTAAAATTTATTTCTAAATTGAAAGGCAACATTTTGGTTTGTATATTCCATTCTTTAAAGCCAAGTTTTTCTTGCACAGTTTAAGTAAATCCACATAGAAACCTCTTAAAAATTAATCCCTGAAACTGCTTTAAACTTTACAACACAAACAAAGACTACACTAATTAGAACAGAAAAACACACGCACACTAACAACTATCTGAGGACACCATTATTTATTGGAGTGATATTAATATCAATTTCCGTATAGACACGGTATAAAGTTGAAGCAATGTGAAATTAATAATGTGAATTAAAATTTATATACCTGTTCCATTTTCCCCTTGTTTGGAAAAAAAATACAACTCATAGTCAAGCGTTTTAGCTAACGAATTTTCGCATAATGACTCAGACAGTCTACCTGGAATCAAGATTTAACAATTTTCGAGGAAATGTGAAAATTTTCCATTTCGTCAGAGAGGAAAATAAGCTGCTACATTATATCCGTTGAAATTCACGTGGGCCGCTTTTCGAGCTCCTTTGCTTCCAACAAGATCAAAGCAGCTATTTTTTTACTTCACCAAACTCGTATTTTGCGTGATTTCGTACTCTTACACTTTCGCATGTTGATAGAGAATAAAATAAATTTCTTGTATGTACGCAGAGGGGTGGTTGAACGCGCGGCGTCGGCGGATGGATCTCTACTCTGCAGCGTGCCGCGAGTGAATCATCTCGCGAGTGGGGGTGAATCATATTTAGACCTGGCACCATTCAAACGCGTCGAGGTCGGAGCACCACTCGGCGTTAAATGGTGGCCGCGCTGGCGAAACTCTTGCCGCTGTTTGTTGACTCGTCGTCGCCGCGACCGCTTTTTGTCATTCGCGGCGCGGCTCGTGACGCGCGCGCAAAGGACAAAACTGCAGCGCAGCCATTCTTTCTCATCCATATTGCATGGACACGTGATATTTTATTGACCGGATAACCCCGGGGATAATCGCGATTTATTTTGGCGCCCGCCGCGTGCCTGCCCGCCCTGACTTATTGATCCTTATCGGTCTCCGCGCCGGCTGCTCTCGGGCGGGAAAAAAATGGGAAAAACGATCGCCGGGGCTGCGCCCCCGAGATTAGATCCGCTGAAGAGGAATTGTGTCACCCGAGCCAGCCCCGGTGACGGTGTAAAAAGTGGAAAATTACCACCCCGGCGCGCACCACTGATGCAGATTTAACTCGCGCCTTTTGGCGTTTGCCGCCGCCGGTGCCGACGAGAGTGGAGCGAAGAAAAGAAATTGGGATCGCTTTACGGCCTCTCGGGAATTTAAAGCAGCAATGAAAATGTCAGTTTTATTAAGCAAATGGTTCGCAAAGTAGACACTGCCGAATTTCTTACCTTGCTTTCGTCGCATGTTCCTGCTTTGTCATGCAGGGATTTCGCTTCAATTATTGTTTAAAGACATAAGTTTAAAAAAAACCTAGTCAACTTGTGCATTTTTTAGGAAATGGATTGAACGCTAGATTATTTTGTTTATTTTAATCATCGCTATTAATTATTTAATTTTAATATTCCATATCCTTGTCACACTTATAAATTACAGGGAGCCAAATTTTCTGAATAACAAAAAAAATATGTTAAAGATAAAACTAATTATCTTGTACATGCATTAATGTTTATCTTATCAAAGTAACATGAAAGAGTTATTATCTGTCCCGAAAAACAATTTGCATGATAAAAGAGTAATTAAATTCTTGGTTTCAATTAAAACCAAATGAGAATAATAACCCGAAGTTTACAATGACATGTTGGAACAGAAGAATTCTTAAATTATATCCCGAGTTACGAACAAATAAATGCATATTAAATCAAATAAAAAAAAGTGGATAATAATTCCATTTATTCAATGGAATTTTTCGCGTTGTTTTTGATGTCGGAAGTATCGCAGACAAAAATTACAAA